AAAAAAAAAAAAAAAAAAAAAGAAAAGAGCAAGCAGCAGGGAAACTGAGCTACGTCACCCTCTGCCCTCTGCCTGTTGTTGGCCCGACCCAGGAGCAACCTTAACAGCAGAGAGAAACTTCCTGAGCCACACCCCCCAGGGCCATCCTTGGGGTGACCTAGCTCTGTGAGCATCCTCATGCTCCTTGACTTCCATTTTCTCAAACCAAAAGATCAAGCAGAATGCGCTAGCAGGTGACATCATGGAAGATCACGTAGGGAATGTCCCGGGGAAATCCTGACCTTATGGTCACTGATGTCATTAGGAGCCGCTAGGCACGAATAGGGAATGAGGATTCACTCCAGTTCTCTGCCTGGCCCCTCCCTGACCCACGGTCTCTCCCCACAGATGCGGGCTGCAGGATTTCACCTCCTGGAAGAGGAGGAGGAAGAGGAGGAGGAAGGGAAGGGGCTGCTGCCAGGGGCACTGGGCAGTGCCTCGCAGGTGCCGGTACAGGTGTCCTGGCCCCAGCTCCTCTCCACCTACCGCCTGCTGCACTCCTTGGAGCTCGTCTTATGTCGGGCCGTGCGGGACTTGCTGTTGCTGTCCAAGGCTGGGCACCCAGTCCGAGCCCTGGGGTTCCCAACACTGGGCCCCCAGCCCTGATCGGGTGACTTCTTAGCCCCCTGCCCCTCACCCTTTAGGACTTTAGGATTGGAGTCTTGGCGTCAGGGCAGCCTCCACATCATCAGCCTTGGACAACGCAAGGCTGTTCCAGCCTGCTGCCCCAGGCGCTACCCGCTAACCAAAAGCCCCTCCAGTCCTCGCCAGCTATTTATTTCCTGGATACTTATTTATTGTTTAGGAAGATGATGGTTTATTTATTGTCTCAGGGCCTGCTGGTCCTCCAGGGATGCTGGGTGCCTAATAAAACACTCTCACCCACCCCTGGCCTCCACTTCTCTTCGGGGAAGGGCTGCCTGACACCCAGAGGGCAGCGCAGCGTGGAATGGGGTCAGCAACCTCTAACCGTCCTGAACCCCTCTCTGCTCCTACATTTTTGGGGTCCCTGGTCCACCTTCCCTACTATGTCCTGCTCAGCCAGGCAGTTGCCACAGTAACCAGCAGAGTTCTGAGCTACCATTTTGGAAGCTCAAGGCAGCTGGTCTTTGACTCTGAACGGTGCTCCTTACGCCCTCCTAACTGCTTTCCTTTGGACTGGCCTTGACTCCAGAGGTCTGTGTTACCCCACCCAGTTCTGAGGGTCATGGTGCAGGGAGGTGGGTTAGGGCGCGGGAGTCAGAGAGGGACGCCTGTATGGAGAATGATCTCTGTTCCCTCTCAGTCTTCCTTGCAGTCTATTTTTTAATTTTGTTTTTAAAAGATGGGGTCTTTTGCTATGTTGCCCAGGCTGGTCTCAAACTCCTGGTCTCAAGTGATCCTCCCACCTTGGCGCCTCAAAGCTCTGGGGTGACAGGCGTGAGACCCTGTGCCTGGCCTCCTTGCAGTCCAGACAACTGACTCAGGTTAGGGAGGAACCAGGGCAGGAATGCTGAGAGGTGGTCTCAGTGGGGTAGGTGGTCCACCAGCCTGCACTGGAGAATCAGACTCAAGTTCAAGGTCTTCCCAGACATCTGGTTTTGCCTGCCCCATGAATGATACACCAAGACGCTGAGGCCCAGAGGGTGGAGAGGATGCATCCACAGTGGCAGAGGGAGCAGGGCTCAGTGGCGTCCAAGTCAGGCTTCTGGTCCCCACCCGCCTTCCAGGGTGCCGGGTCTCAGTCACTGGGGCTTGGGCCGGCCCAGACGTGCATGCAGCTCCTGCATCATGCCAGGGTGTGCGAGGCCAAACCTGGAGGCAGAAGTTGGATCCGTGAGAATGGCTCCCCAGATGCCCAAGATCTCTTCCCCACCCTAGCTGAGTCACCCTGTGCCTACCCGTGTCCCAGGGGCCTTCTCCTGGCTGGCACCGGGGTCCCATCATGCCTCAGAGGGCTTGGCTTGGGGGGTTCCTCCGGCTGGAGGAGTCTCTGCTCAGGGGCTGACGGCTCCTCCTCCTCGGAAGGGTTGGGGACTGGGGGCTCCTCCTGCTGCTCCAGGACCAGGGTCCGACGAAAAGAGGGCCGCGAGCGACGCTGCGAGGAGCTTCTCGAGAGGTGCACGCGGCTCCTTGGGACAGAGACATCTAGGAGGGATCCGGGGAGCAGAGCCTGCAGGAAAAGGGGCATGGAGGACCATGGGGCCAGCTTGGGGATTCCACTCGGTCCCCGCCAGACCCCATCAGGAGCCCTCACCTCGCTCCAGCTGCTGGCAGCACCTCCTCTGGCACTGCCGATGGCCTCAGCTGTCTCCACATTCCCAAGCGACCCCGGTGCAGCTTCTGCAGGGCCTTGGCATGTTGGCCATTCCTCCTGGACCCTGATGTCCTCCAGGCTTTCTGGCTCAGTCTCCTCGGCCCCTGCCCTCTGGCCCCCGGTCACCGTGAGACCCTCTGCATCAAGGAGCCTTGGTGGCTCTCCCTCGGGGTTGTGATCCCCACGCCGCCCCTTACTGTCCTCCCGCTCCTGTTCTCTCTCCTGCCATCCCGCAGCCTCTTCTTCCAACAGTGTCCACTCTTCTAAAAGCCCCCCAGCCTCCACCATGGCTCCTGTCCCCTCTTCCCTCACTGTGTGGGAACCCACACCATCCAGCCCACAGCTGTCCTCTGCACCTGCAGATTCCCCGGCCTCTACCCGCCCTCTCCCACGCTCTCCCTCCCTGGCCTCAAAAGCCTCTGCTGGGCCGCCTCTGTCAGCCACCTCTTCTTCTGTTGACCCCTCCAGGCCAAACTCCTGCCCGCCTGCATCCTCTCCCACCGCTGCCTCCTCCCTTTCTTTCGAGTCCCATCCTCGTCCAAGCGCCCCTTCCAAAGCTTCATCAGCACCAGCAGCGCTGACATCTGGGACCACCTCACCCCCCATAATCTCAGCAGCCACGGAGCCAGTCTGTGTGTCCTCATGGTCATGAAGGCCCACAGCTGCCGCCTGCAGCCTCCAGCCTCTCCCAGGCGTTCCGTCGGCCTCCGCCTCCCCATCCTTGGTTTCCCGGGCATAGGCCTCTCCCAGTGACCGGCCCGGCCCTGAGTCTGCCCCTGTGCTTCCGTGCAGCTCCTGGTTCTCTGAGTCACATGTCTCTCCCTCCTCAATTCCACACCCCGTGTGTTTGGATGCCGGCCCCTCCCCACCTGCCTCTGGGACTTTTGGCAGTTCAGACTCTCGGTCTCCTTCGGCCTCAGCCTCCAGGGTCTGGTTTCCTGCAGCCTCCTCCTCCCGCTGCTCACCCTGGGCCGCTTCCTCCTGGGTATTCCCTGGGAAGGCCTCGGAGGCCTCAGGCTTTACAAACCTGGGACCTGCCTCCGGGCTCCTCTGCTCTTTGCTCAGGGTGAGAACTCCCCAGAGCTCCGCCTCACCTGCCCACCTTTCCTCGGGTTGCTTGGTTGGGGTCTGGGCGCCCCCCATCAGCTCAGGCTCCTGGCCTTTGGAGACCCTGTGTGTGAGGCCACCCCACTCCGCCCCCAGGGCGCTGCAGCTGCTCTGGGCTGCCTCACTCTCCTCCCCTGTGAGCTCCTCCTCAGGCCTGGCCTCTGGGGTTGCCTCCAAGTCAGCAGCTCCTTCAACCTCTCCATCCGAGGGCAGCTCAGCCGCTGGGTCCCCGACGCTCACTCTCTCCTCCCAGGCCTCCTCTGCCTGTACCACCTCCTCCAGCCCGGCCCGGTCAGCCCTGATCTCCAAGTGCCGACTCCCCTCAGCCACCTTCCCACGCTGGTCAGCCTGACCCTCAAAGCTCTCCCCTGCCTCCTGGCCTCCCGCAGCCTCCCTCCCTGCTGTCTGGGTTTCAGCGGCCTCTTCCATTCTCTCAGTGCCCAGGGCCTGGGCCTGTTTGGGGAAAGGGCTCACCTCAGCTTCTCTCTCCTCATCCCCCTCCTCCTCTAGGACCCAGACTTTTCCAGTAGCCTCTAGGAACCTTTCTCCCAGGATTGCTCCATATTCTGTCTCTCTGACTCCTAAGAAGTCAGCCTTCTCGCCTGAGGTTGTCCAGGCCTCCTTGCCTCCTGAGACTGTCCCAGCCTCCTCTCCTCCTGAGGCTGCCTCCTCCCCTCCCAAGGCTGTCCCGGCCTCCTCCCCTCCTGAGGCTGTCTTGGCCTCCTCCCCTCCTGAGGCTGTCTCGGCCTCCTCCCCTCCTGAGGCTGTCCCGGCCTCCTCCCCTCCTGAGGCTGCCTCCTCCCCTCCTGAGGCTGTCCCAGCCTCCTCCCCTCCTGAGGCTGCCTCCTC